GTCGAGGACCCTGGACCCAAGCAGGGCATACAATAGCTCCCACTTCCGGACAGGCACTGGCTTTTGCCATACTAAATGTAGTGCCGGTATTGGCATACGAGAATTTTCCTGGTGAAGCAGGGCCATCTGGAGGAACTGATAGTAATAAGAAGAAGAAGAAGCGGTCAAACAGGCCCTTGGAAAGAGCAAGGTTTTGCACTTTTCACCAACTCTATAAGCATGACACCAACGAGTGCAGAGACGCTCCTTGACACTCGTATCGCAACGACCCACATCCCTCCAGAAGGAAAAAATATCCTCGTAGATCCGCCTCCCCGAACAGGGGAGAGAGAAGGCAAAGAGAGCAGTCACCCATGAGAAGAGAATCAAAGGACCGAGGAGAGTCTAGACAGAGAGATCAGGCCCAATTTTCTGGAGACCAAATCATCAGGGAGATCGACACGATCATCGGGGGACCTCACATCAATGGCAACACCAGGAACGCACAATGGAATTACATAAGGGAAGCAAAGGACCCACCAATGCTCACTTACATTGTCAACGAGTCCCAAGAGGCCAATAGGATGGCCCTAATCACCTTCTCCAAGGAAAATGCACAAGGAGTTCACCACCCCCATTGTGACGCATTGGTTGTGAGAGCCGTAGTGGCAAGAAACGGGCTCAAACGCATGTTCATCGACAATGGTAGTTCGGTGAATATATTAGTTCGGCTTCACCTTCGACAAGATGCAAATTGAACATGGGTTGATCCCCATAACCGATCCACTATTCGGATTTACTGGAGACAGCATCATCCCACGAGGGCGGATTACTCTGCCCGTCGAGATGGGTTCAGTTCCTCTAGTGGCCCAACGCTTCATGGAATTCTTGGTGGTAGACCACGGATCAGCCTACCATGGAGTATTGGGTAGACCCGCCTTGAAAGATCTTTGGGTTGTTACCTCCATCCACTATTTGAGTATGAAATTCTCAACTGAACATGGGATTGCTACGGTACGAGGCGACCAGATGGGCTCCAAGGCATGTTACTTAAACTCTCTGCGAAAATCGGATCCCCGAACTGTTAACGTGATCATAACTAAAGTTGACAGTGAACCCAATTTGGACGTGAAAATGCTCGACGCCCCTGAACAAGGGCATACCTCCGAACAGGAGGAAGACGTCAACATGGAAGATGCCCCTGAAGAAGGGTACTCTTTTGATGAATTAGATCCTCGGATAATTGACTCCGAGCCAAATGCAACCCCAATGGAAAAACTTGAAACCTTATTCGTCAACCCAGAGGACCCCAGTTAGATCCTGCAAATAGGAAAGACACTGTCCCTCGAAGCAAAAGAAGAAATGGTGAGCTTCCTGAAAAGGAACTTGGATGTCTTCGCTTGGAAGCATGAAGACATGGTGGTAATAGATCCAAGGATCAATTGCCATCATCTTAACATCAACTCCTCTTGTGTCCCACATAGGCAGAAAAGACGTGCCTTCAACTTGAAGTGCGCTGAAAGACGAAGTACACAAACTTAGCTGCAGCAGCTTCATCAGAGAAGCCATCTATTCGAAGTGGATATATAACCCGGTCTTAGTGAAGAAGCCCAGCGAAACGTGGAGAGTGTGCGTAGACTTCACAAATTTAAATAAGGCATGCCCTAAAGACAGCTTCCCACTTCCAAGGATAGACCAACTTGTGGATTCCACTGTCGGACATGAACTCTTGAGCCTCATGGATGCATACTCAGGGTATAACCAGATACCCATGTTCCGACCTGATGAGGAGGCTACATCATTCATCACAGACAGAGGATTGTACTGCTACAAAGTCATGTCCTTCGGATTGAAAAATGCTGGAGCTACATATCAGAGGCTGGTCAACATGATGTTTGCCGAACTCATTGGCAAAACCATGGAAGTCTACATGGATGACATGCTAGTTAAAAGCCTCCAGGCCAACGAACACGTAAGTCACCTCGACCAAACCTTTCAGATACTTAGAAAATATAAAATGAAGTTGAATCCCCTCAAGTGCACCTTTGGAGTGGCTTTGGGTCAGTTTTTGGGATATATTGTAAACCAAAGAGGAATCGAAGCGAACCCAGTGAAAATAATGGCCTTGCTTGAAATGAGGTCGCCTCAGAAACCAAAGGAGGTCCAAAGCCTCAATGGTCGGATAGCTGCACTCAGTCGCTTCATCTTCAGAGCTACAGATAAGAGCTTACCCTTCTTCAATGTGCTGAAGCAAGGAAAGAAGTTCTAATGGACTTCTGAGTACGAAGAAGCTTTCCAATCGCTGAAGAAGTACTTAGGAGAGGCACCCTTGCTGTCAAAACCTCAACCAGAAGAGCCACTACTACTGTAATTAGCAGTTTCGGACGAGGCGGTAGCGCTGTCCTAGTCAGAGAAGAAAATGAGCACCAGTTACCGATATACTATGTCAGCAAAGCACTCCTCCCAGCTGAAACACGCTACCCAGACATGAAGAAATTGGCACTCGCTCTCATCACAGCCTCAAGGAAACTGAGGCCATACTTTCAGGGCCACTCAATTGAAGTTCTCACCAACTTCCCATTGAAACAAGTGCTACAGAGAACAAACTCATCAGGACGCCTGCTAAAATGGGCGATCAAACTTAGTGAGTTCGACATACCATCAAGGGTCAGGCCCTTGTAGATTTTGTGGTTGAGTTTGCCACAGTCCCAGAAATGGAAGCAATAATGGAACTAGTCGAGCCCACAACGTGAAAACTGTTCGTAGATGGATCCTCAGGAGAGGCTGGCTCTGGGGCAGGGATCGTCTTGGAAAGCCCCGAAGACCACAAGCTAAAATGTGCAGTAAGGTTCGGCTTTAAAGCCTCGAACAACGCTGTAGAATATGAGGCATTTTCTAGCAGGCCTTAGACTGGCAAAGGAAATGCAGGTCAGAAGGCTCCTAGCAAGCAGCGATTCTCAGCTTGTAGTGAGTCAAGTCAATGGAAACTTCGTGGCCAAAGACAGTGGCATTGCATACTTAAAATTGGTTCTGGACCCAGTTCCTCATTTTGAAAGGTTTGAGCTGATTCAAGTCCCATGCCTAGAGAATACTCATACAGACGCCCTGTTAAAATTGGCCAGCAGCAAGGATTCAGAGGTACTAAAGGTTGTCCCCATTGAACACTTATCGAAGCCCTCCATTTTCGGAGATGAAGAGGTGCTATGGATAGAAGGCACCCCGTTATAGATACAATCCATCATCGCCTATCTTTTGGACCAATCACTACCAGCTTCTAGAAGTGAGGCAATGAAGTTAAGAAGAAGAGTTGTACACTTCGTCCTACAAGAAGATGTTCTCTACAAAAAAGGCTTTGCTTCGCTACTTCTCCGATGTGTAGGAGGCAAAGAGGCCTATATATACTCAGGGAAATCCATGAGGGAATTTGCGGGAATCACTCCGGAGGAACGACTCTGGCACAAAAGTACTCCGGCAAGGCTACTTTTGACCGACACTGAAAAAGGATGCTTGCCAGTTTGTCCAGAAATGTGACAAGTGCCAGCTAGGGGTGGGCGTGAGTTGGGTCGATTTTTATTTCAACCCAAACCCAACCCAACGTGGTCGGTTTTAGTAATGTTCAACCCAACCCAACCCAACCCATGTAAAGATTGAAACCCAACCCAACCTAACCAAATGTCGATCGGGTTGGGTTGGGTTGGGTTGGTCGGGTTGGGAAAACCTATCAACAAATATTAAAGTCGTCAAAATACTAAATTTAAAACAACATTTATATAGTCTTCCAACATCAATAAACTTAAAACATATAATGGTATAATCCACCAAATACACATGAAATAACTATACAATAACAATTACATATCTAATTACAAAGCTATAGTTCCGAGGCAAAAAACTATTGGCACAAACAAAAATTTGCTCGGAAAAAAACCAGCCACCAACACAAAATAATTCTTGTGCCACAAAACAAAAATCAACCATCAAATAACCATTGACACTTGACACAAACGAAATAATTATCCAATAACTATTGACAATTGGCACAAACAAAAACTAGACATGAAACAAATTACTTTTTGTGCCCTTGATCATCTTCATTCAATTTTGAATTCATTGATTCCAATTCTACAAAAAAAAAAAAAAAAGTTGATTCAGTTGACAACAAAATACATAGATATAAAGTCAAAATAACAAAATTTATGAAAAAAAATACATATTACCTTCATCTAATTGGTTGTAATGCTCAACATCTTCCATGTGGAAACCATCTAACTGTGGAAAAGCTTTCAACCAATTTTGTGTGCATACCAAGACTTCCACCATTTTAGGACTTAATGAACTACGAAAAGGATCAAGTATCCTTCCTCTGGTGCTAAAAGCACTTTCTGAAGCAACCGGTGAAACTTGAATTGCTAACACATCCTTAGCAATATTAGACAAGACACCATACTTACTTTTGTTAAGCTTCCACCAATCGAGAACATCAAAGTCCTTGTTCTTTATACTTTCACGATCATCAAGTAAATATCTTTCCACATCATTTTTTATTTCAGCATAATCTTTTACATCTTGTTTTTTCAAAAATCTAGAAAGACGAGCATCACTCATAGAAGAAGAACTGTCTTTATTTGTACCGAAAGAACTCAAAGACTCGTCAGTTGATACTTGACTACTTCCATGAACACCTTCACATGCCACAAACCACTCATAAATATCCATGAAATTTTCTTTCAAAGATTTCATCATGTTACTAACAACTTTCCCATCCATGTATAGATCACTAAAACAGTATTCAACATAATCCATTTTATATCTTGGATCAAGGATAGTAGCAATAAGCAACAACTGATTCGCATTTTCCATTTTACCCCAATACTTTTCGAACTTCTTCTTCATGTTAGTTGCCATTTTACCCAATAAAAAATTATCACTCAATCTCCATTCATCCAATTCGAATACAATATTACAAATTTCATGGAGATAAGCACAAGCACTAACATGCAATGAAGAACTAAAAGTCAAAGTTACATCAATTTTTTTTTAAGAAACTTGACAAATACAGATCCATTTTTACAATCTAAATTTGAAGGAGGTCCACTTCTCTTTTTACCACCATCGTCTTCCCGAAAGTAATGCAAATATTGAACATCTTCTTCTTCTAACTTATCAAAAGCTTTCTCAAATTTCAATGCCGTTTTCAACATCAAATAGGTTGAATTCCACCTAGTTGAAACATCCAAAAATACAATAGACTTGCAATCGATCTTCTCTTTTCTCGCACACTCCTTTAGTTTTTCATTCCTAACAGGAGAAGATTTTACATATTTGATTGCATTGCGGATATTCACAATGGAGTCATGTACTTCCCTCAACCCCTCACAAACAATCAAGTTTATAATGTGTGCACAACACCTGAAGTGCAAATATCTTCCATCTAGAACACATCCATCACTACCCCAAGCAATCAACTTCCTCTTAAGATAAGCAATAGCCACATCATTAGAGCTTGCATTATCAACAGTGATTGTAAAAAATTTCTCAATTCCCCAATCTTGCAAACAAGTCTCAATCATTTTCCCAATCGTTTCTCCTTTGTGATTTGGAACAACACAAAAATTTAAAATATGCTTATTAAGTGTCCAATCAGAATCAATAAAATGTGCTGTAAGAGACATGTAATTAACATTTTGAATGGAAGTCCAAGTGTCAGTTGTGAGGGAAACCCTTTGACGGTGAAAAGAGAAGACATCTCTCAATTTCAGTTTTTCATCTAAATACAATTATAGATGTCTCTAACAAGAGTCCTCCAAGATGGAGCCTTAAATTGAGGACATGCTACACTACAAAAGAGCTTAAAACCCTGACCTTCAACAAACCTAAAAGGTAATTCATCCAATACAATCATCTTAGCACATGCAAATCTACACTCTTCTTTACTTCGACCAATAGCAGCAAGATTGCTCCCGCCACCCTCTTTTTTATTCTCAAAAGAAAGGATTTTTTTGCTTCTTATCCACCAATCTACCAGGATACTTCTTACATTGATTTGTCAAATGATTACCCAATGTGCTAGTACTACACTTCTTAGTGCCACAAGCATAATCTACCCCACAGTAGTTACATTTACACCTAACATCTGGATCATCCCTTGATCCTAAAATCGTAAAGTGATCACAAACATATGAAGCTAATCTATTAGATTTTCGTTTACCTAGTGTTGACGGTGCACGTGGAGGAAGACTTGCTTGCAAATCTATGTCATTTGATAGAGATTCTGTACCAAGTACTTCACAATCATCCATATCTACAAACATATTCCACCAAAATTATAAAACAACCAAATAGATGTATTTAATAAAAATAACAATGCAATACAATAAATAAATAATACAACACCTATGGCTGTGTCCATTTCCTAAGCATAATCTATCACCAAAGGTCGCTCTGAATGAAGACAAACAGGATCGTCCTTGAAATTATCTGTAGCTGCCAATCATGACCAACCATTGATGTTGAAGGGAGAAATGTTTTTAGAAGCTTAGCAGAGGAATTCAAACGGAAAACAAAAACATAAACAAAATAGATAAACAAATAATTCAATTCCCTAGATACAATGAACTACATTTGTATTTCAATAAATTTGGGACTAAAGCATGATTACATCACTTCTTTTTTCCAATGAAATAAAATATTTAGCAACCAAAGTAAATTATGTTCAATTATCCTATTTAGCAACCAAAGTTTTGAGGCAGATAGGTCGACCAGAATTAATGCTGATAAGGTTACAGACTTCAAGTTAGTGGAATAAACTAACAGGGAAAGTTTAAAGAAGAAAACCTAACAAACCCTGCTAATACAAGACACCACTGGTTACTGAAACTTAGTGGGAAAGAGAAATTTCATTTGTCATATGAATGTATCCCAATATTTGCACACTGAGTAGAGAGCCCGCTTTTCTGTGCTTACATATAACAATTGGATAAACGACCTAGCTTCACCTCTCAATCGAAGCATAATAAGCCAATTGAGTATGGTTTGTAAGCATGGTGTATTCAGGTTGATATATACACAACAGGAATAACATAGATGCAGTGTGGTATTCTGGGAAACTAATTTCTATGATTAAAATGGACCTCAAGATAAAATTGATATAAAGGAACAAAGTGGGCCAAAAAATCAATTTCTTTAGAAAAAAGTGGACCCTTTCTCAGAAAGAAACCTTGCACTTGATATTTTAGATTCGTGCAGCCGTTTAGCCCCTTCAAACACATATACAAACAATTTGATATCCATATAAAGCCATGAACAAAAATACAGTTTCATGGAAAAACATATCACACCGAGGAAAAACGATAGGCTTCTCGGATGTAGAGTATGGATTTCAACCGAATTTTACTACTAAAGTTCATAACAAAATAGGAATTAGGAACTCAATATATAAAACATATTCATGTTCATAAATAGAAGTACCCAAAAGAGATTGCACAAACAAAATATGGAAACAATCACCCAGTACATGAAATTGCACAATAATGAAGCTCTGTGTGCGAGCAAATTCAATTTCAGTTTTAGTCGACACCTGACAACTCTAAGCACAATGGTACAATTGAAATTCAGAATGTTACTTTGAAGAAACTGAAACTGAAATTGAAATTGAAACTAAAATTCAGAACAGTGCCAGTTACATATATTTCTTTGAAGAAACTGAAATTTGCTGCACGAATCGCGATTACGCACTCACTATCCCAACTGAAATTCGGAATGTTGCTTGGCCTTTGTTTTAGAGGGGGGACTGGAGAGTCGGTAGACTGAAAAAAATGGAGTTTACCATTGCAAATTGAGAGAAAATGATGAAAGAGAGACTGAGAGATTAGGGCTCCATCCGTTCTTCTGCGGTTCTACCTTCGCGTGAGAAGTGAAGTGAAAATTAGGGCTTATTTTTATTTTCATTCATTTCTTTTTCTTTTTTTTTTCATAATTGTTGGCGGGTTGGGTCGGTTTGGGTTATTTCGGGTTTCGTTGGACAACCCATAAACCGACCCAACCTGACCTGACCCAAAAACACAGCCCGTGACCCGAAACCCGCCTAAAAACACAAAAAAATCGACCTAAACCGATCAGTTTGGGTCGGGTCGGCGATTTTCGTGGGTTGGCTTGGGTTTTGCCCAGCCCTAGTGCCAGCACTTCTCAAATATTCAAAGGCAACCTTCTCAGAGCGTCTCCGCAGTGACTAGCCCTTGGCCGTTCACCAAATGGGGCATCGACTTCATTGGTCCACTTCCAAAAGGAAGAGGAAGCGCGACTTTTGCCATTGTTGCCATCGACTATTTCACCAAGTGGGTCGAAGCTAAACCTCTTGCCAAGATCACCGAGACGAATACTACAAAATTCGTCTGGAAGAACATTATTTGCAGGTTCGACATTCCCCACTCCTTAGTATCTGAAAACGGAAGATAGTTCGACAACAAGAAAATGCGAGACTTATGCGACGAACTGGGCATAAAGAAGGATTTCTCAACGCCTCATCACCCACGAGCAAATGGGCAAGTTGAGGCAGTAAACAAAACAATCAAGCATATCCTGAAAAGAAAGTTTGATACCTCGAAGGGGGCTTGGGTCGATGAGCTTCCCCACGTCTTCTGGGCCATCAGAACAACTAGTCGAACTGCAACAGGGGAGACACCCTTCTCAATGACCTACGGAGCCGAGACCATGAGCCCGGTCGAGGTAGGAGTCCCATCGTACCGTTGAATACACTTCAATGAGATCAGTAACGACGATGCTCGAATGAGCGAACTCCACCTCCTTAAAAAAAGAAGAGATACCTCCCAGGCAAACTTGGCAAAGTATCATAGAAAGATGATCCGTTATTATAACTCCAAGGTCAGAAATTGGACTCTTCGCCTAGGGGACCTCGTCCTTAGAAGGGTCTTTCAATCATCAAAGCTAACTGGGTCCGAAGTGTTCGGACAGAATTGGGAGGGTCCTTACCACATCTGCAGGAAATCCTGACCTGACACTTTTGAAATTGAAGACATGACAGGGAAAGCACTGTCTCATCAATGGAACATCGAACACTTGAGAAAATACTATCAGTGATGAACTTGTGTTCTAATTCGATCTCAATGTTTTCTAATAAATGTGTCATGATCTGATCTCATTTGTAACTTCCTTATCTTACTAAGTGCTGAAAATGCCTTAGTGAAGGGTAATATAACTTCTCTCTCTAAGTAATGATACTTTAGTTCCTTGTCACATCGGTTAGTAAATTGTTACCTCAGCTCTTCAATATGTTAATTAGTCCGATCTTTTGTTATTATTCGGTTATTGGTAAATGGCGCTTTATATTTAATTAAGTGATTGTCATTCATATACTCAACTGTAAACGGCTCAACACAATGAAAAAAGTAGAAGCAACAATACTTAACAAAAATTTCACTTCATTCATTTGAAATTGGATTACAAAAGAGGCCAAGGTCATTACAAAGATTAACTCTATTCTATGGGGGCATCTTCCACCCCGCCCTCCACCTCGCCTGCCCTGGGGACTCTGGAGCATCCTCGACGAACCTATCAGGCCGACCTCCAGTAGGCCAACTGAACTCTGCCTCTAATGAGGATATGTCCAGAGTAGGATGAACCTCTTTCAACCGACCCAATAATCCTTGGGTGGTCCAGGAAGTCCAGAAGTTTGCAAAGTCGTCGTACATGGGGTGCTATTCGAAGTGGTCGATGAAGTTCTGTACAGCCACCTCCCCTGCCGATTTCAGCTCCTCCTTCAGAGAGGCGATCTCCTCAGCTTGGGCATCCACCCTCTGCCTCAGCTCCGCCTTTTCTTTATTAGAGGCCTTCAGAGCCTCTGTGGCGAGCTGGTGGTGCTCGTTTGCATGATCACCTCTTCGGGTAATAGCAGCCACCTAGCACTCCACTTCATATAGCTCCTTCTTCAGTCGCTCTATGTTTCCCTTGGTAGTTGCCAGCTGGGCCTCAGCCTCCTTCGTTCCTCTCTTCCTCCTCGGCCTTGTCCCGGGCCTTCCTCACTACGTCACCATATTGTATTGCCTCTTCAAGGCGCTTGGCAAGGTCCTCCTTCTTAGCATTGAGGTCTTTCACCAATCCCTCAAGTTGGATGCTTGTGCTTAAGGCCCGGGCCACATAAGCACTGTTGGCCGCAACCAAGTCCTCGGCAATGCAGGAGTTGGTGTGGTCTCTCCATTCCTCGAATACTTATTATGGACCACTGCCACCTCAACCGTCTCTAGAGGAAGAGCCTCCAGCACTTCTTTCACTGACTCTTCTGAATTGGTGCCCAAGAAATCAACCTCCTTCGAAGGACGGACCCTTTTCCTCTTTGGCTGCCCCGACACTTGGGCAATGGGCACAGCAGCTACTGGCCGGGGCAGGAGAAGCCTCTGGTGGCACAGGCGTCTTCTCCAGGATGACCACCTCGGTAGGAATTGTAGTCTACCTCAGAGCTGAAGGTGGTCTCGCCACAGTTGGGCGCTTCGAGGGGGCAGTAGGCTTCTTGTCCTTCCGCAGCAAGTTTGCGTCTTGGTCCTCCACCACCTCCTCT